GGTCTTCCTTCCACTGGTTCACTCCCCAGATGTCTTCTCTTAAATTGCATTTTCTAGTTGTTGGCTGTTTACAGAAATGCAACTGACTTTTTTCGTACATTAATCTTGTATTTAGGCACTTGAAAAGACTTCCCTGAATCTATTGAGATCTACGAATATGCTTCAGTAATTTATGGATTTTTCGAGTACAAAATTATTCTTGATAAATTCAGCATGATTGTAGAATGATATCTTTTTAAAGTGTTACACTGGAGTTTCTGATTTTAACTTCGTAATTTGGCAATACAGATGATCCCTGACTTAGGATGGTTTGACTTAACGATTTTCTGACTTTATGATAGCACAATAATACACATTCAGTAGAAACCATAATTCAGATTCTGACTGTTGCTCTCTCCCAGCGAGTGATACAGTCTGGGGTGGTTGTGTGAGGCTGGGCAGAGGAAGCAAGCTGAGCCGCCACACCGGCACACCGCGATGCTGGCGGCTTTGGGGTACTGGAGGTGTTTTCCACTTACAGTGGCTATATTGGACTGCAGCCACAGTGGGCCGGGGCGCTCAGGTATGTTCCTAAGTGAAAGAAGGTAGACATTTTATTCTCCCATTTCTTAGCCTGGTTGGGAGTTATGTTAGTATCATAGCATAGTACAGTATTTTCTCTCTTCCTGTCGTTTGGAAGACTCTACAGGAAATTGGAATAATAAATGTCTTGGAAATTCAATGGAATTCGCCTGTAAAATTCCCTGGCTCTTGTGCTTTCTTAGTGGTAATTTAAAAAGACTGCTGTACTTTCTTTAATTAGTATAGGACTATTGATGCTATTCCTTCTAGAGTTAGTTCTTATGTTATATTTTTCTAAGAATTTGTCCTTTTGACCAGAGTTTTAATGATCTTGATAAACTTTGTCCTATAAAAACTTTCTATTAATTTCTATATCCATGTAGATCAGTCTCACCTGTAGTTTTCTTTTGTCAGTTTTCTTAAGGAATCAACTTTTGGCTTTATCAAACATCCTTTTTTTCATTTTTTGGTTGATTTCCTTTTTAAAAGTATTTTTTCAGGCCGGCGCCATGGCTCAATAGGCTAATCCTCCGCCTGCGGCGCCAGCACACCGGGTTCTAGTCCCGGTCGGGGCGCCGGATTCTGTCCCGGTTGCTCCTCTTCCAGTCCAGCTCTTTGCTGTGGCCAGGGAGTGCAGTGGAGGATGGCCCAACTGCTTGGGCCCTGCACCTGCATGGGAGACCAGGAGAAGTACCTGGCTCCTGGCTTCAGATCAGCGCGGTGCGCCGGCCGCAGTGTGCCAGCCGCGGCGGCCATTGGAGGGTGAACCAACGGCAAAGGAAGACCTTTCTCTCTGTCTCTCACTGTCCACTCTGCCTGTCAAAAAAAAAAAAAGTATTTTTTCTTCTTTCTTCAGGCTGTGTTGAACTCTTTCAATTTTTTTTTCTTTTACAATGGAAAGTTAGAAAAAACTAAGCCTCAAAATTATAGACTATTTAAGGCCCACACATGTCCTTTGTTGCACCCAGCTAGTTTTGAGATCTCTGATGTCACTTAGTTCTAGGTATTATAGTTTTCCATTCTAATTTCTTATTTTACTCATGAATTATTCAGTAACTTCTTCTTTCCTCAAACATGCAGAAGACTTTCTTGCATCCATAAGTCTGTGTATATCCTGTTGTTTTAATCTCTCTCTTATCCTGACTGTATTTCTCTTTATTTCCAATTCGACCTGGCAGCAGGTAAGAGGGCTATAGTGAAATCTCCCCATCTCCCACTGTGGTGATCCTTTATCCGTTTGTCCCTTACACATCAGTCTGTGCTGTGGTATTTTTGAGGCTGTCATAGCATTTAGAATGATGGTCTCTTCTTGAAGAATTCAGCCACTCCTCTTTGTGCGAAAGTCCGTTTTGCCTGATACTGATAGCAGCTATTACGAGCTTTTCAGTTAGTGTTTTCATGGTGAGTCTCGTTTACTTTCTACCTTTGCACATCTCTGTGTTTTGTGCGTCTCTTACAAGGAGTACGTATCTGGATTAAAAAAACCCAGTAGTCAGTATGCTGCTTGTTAACTGCTTGGGTCTCCCTTACTTCTAACAGGAACTCAGCGTGTCTTTCCGTCTTGGGTGTTTTTCCTCTTCTCCCCAAATTCTGTTTTGCTAACATTTGCTAGACTTTTATCTTCCTTTATACTTTCCCTCAGTTCTTTGGTCCTAGTAATTGTCAGCATTAATTTTTATTTCACGTCTCTATTGTAGTATCTTTTAGATTTCCCCCCTTTTATTTGAAAGAGAGAGAGACCAAGATCTCCCACCTGCTGTTTGACACCCTGAATGCCTGCAACAGCCGGGGCTGGGCCAGGTCAAAGTTAGGAGCTGGAAACTCAGTCTGGGTCCCCAGTGTGTGTGGCAGGGACTCTACTACTTGAGCTGTCACCTGCTGCCCCGCAAGGTGTGCATTAGCAGGAAGCTGGAATCCAGAGTGGAGTCAGGACTCAAAGCCAGGCACTATGATATGGTGGGGGTGTCCCAAGCAGCATTTCGCCTGCAGCAACAAATGCCCACCTCCCTCTTCCCCTTTTAGAGCACTGTGCCCAGTGCTGTTTTCATTGTTGGTTTTTGTGTGACACAACTCCAGAAGCTGGAACGGCATTTGGATTAGCAGGTAAGACACCTGTGCCTCATGTTCGAGTACTTGCGTTCGATTCCGGGCTGCTCTGGCTGCTGACCCTGGGAGACAGGGGTGAAGGCTCTTTAATTGGGTTGCTGTCACCCATGTGGGAGATCTAGGTTGAGCTCCTAGCTCTCAGTCCAGCCCTAGATATTGCAGGCAATTGTAGAGTGAAGCAGGCAGGGGGAGCTCTGTCTGTCTCTCAAGGTTGTTTTGTTTTTTGTTAGAGATGCCAGGAGCCAGAAACTTCGTCTGAGCGGCAGGGACCCACATACCTGGCTCCTCATCCTCTGCCTTCCAGGCACATGAGCAGGAAGCTGGATTGGAAGTGCGGAGTGGTTGGGACTCGAACCTGCACTCCAAAATGGGATGCAGATATCCCAAGCAACAGCTTAACCCACCCAACTTCTCATCTGTTTACTTTCATTCTTGAAAATTTATTTTCATCCTTTATTTCTCTCGATTCTCATTTTTTATTAACTTCCTTTCCTTTTGGGGTTCCAGTTAAATGTGTTATTTTAGTGGCTATCAGTACACAAATGAGGGTGCTTAAAGTTCATGGAAAGTACAGTTAAGAAAAAAACTATATGAATTTCAAAATAAACTTCAAAATTTTGGGGCCTGCACTGTGGCACAACAGGTTAGCACCCCCATATGGGCACTGGTTCGAGTCCTGGTTGCTCTACTTCCAATCCAGCTCTCTGCTATGGCCTGGGAAAGAGGCAGAAGATGGCCCAAGTCCTTGGGCTCCTGCACCCACGTGGGAGACCCAGAAGAAGCTCCTGGCTTCAGATCGGCACACCTCCGGCCGTTGTGGCCAATTGGGGAGTGAACCAGTGGATGGAAGACATCTCTCTCTCTAACTCTGACTCTGACTCTGACTTTCAAACAAATAAATCAATCTTTAAAAAAAAAAAAAACTTCAAAATTTTTAAGAAACCAGGAGCCCAGAACTCAGTCTGCATTTCCCAGGAAGGGGGCAGGGACAGTTACTTGAGCCATCACCTACCACCTGCCAGGGTTTGCTGTAGCAGCTGGCTGGAATGCAGAGCAGGGGCCTGAACGCAGCCACTCTGATACGGGATGTAGGTACCCCATGCTGTGACTTAGCGGCACCACACGCCTGACCCCACTACCCCTGAATTTTCTTTTATTTGAAAGGCAGAAAGTATGAGAGAGAAAAATCAACTTATCTTTTAATTGCATTTTCCTGCAGATATTTGAGGTCCTTTTAACTTCCCACACCCGGATGTCCCTGTGCATGTCGACTGTCCTGGTTAGCCCAGGGCCTTCGAGCAGTTTCCCTCGTTCATTCCTCCTCTGACTTACACAGTGGTGCAGCTGCATTCTGCACTGTAACGCCCCGCCAGAATGACCACTCGCGCTGCTCCACTCACTCCAGGGAGGTTTTGTTCTTCATTCATTTGTACCCATGCTCCATCCTTCCTTAGGGATCAGTCTCAGATCCCTGAGTGCAGGTGTGCCTGCGAATGCCTGGATCTCAGCCTCCTCCCTGAGACCCGAGCCTGCGGGCGGCAGGGAGGCTTTGGCACGCGAGCGTCCGGGGTGCGGCTTCTCAGAGAGCACTGTCTTTATATCTGGTTGCTGAGCAGTCTCCCTCTGACTGCTTTCTAACAGTGGCGCGGTATAGATTTAGGAAATTCCCTGCTAGTTTCTTTTCAGAGATGGTGGCCTTCTGGATAGAAGTAGGCCAGACTTTGCTCTCAAACTTGCTGTGTGCGGGAGCGGCCAGGAGGCCGAGGGCAAGTGCAGATGGCGACTCAGGAGGTCCGGGGACAGATTGCTGCCCGGTACCAAGCTCCCAGTGGACGCTGGCGAGCCTGCCAGGGCCTCACTCGGGGTCGCACGGGCTAGGCCGCATCCCTCCAGCTTCCTGTCTCTCTGCTCCAGTTTGATAATGGCTTCTGTCTATAGCGAGGTGATAAATTCTCTACGTTTCAGTTCTTCCTCTGTAAAATGTCTATTTTGTTCTCTTTGGAATCTGCTATGCCACATTTTAAGCTGTTTTCAAGGTCGGTGTCTACCCCATACAGCCATGCGGGGAGGCACCCTGTCCTGTCGGCTTGAAGCCAACCCTGCCCCGACAGTCTCCTGTGGACTTGTTGTCGGGTGTCTGGGCTCCACGCTGGGGTGTTAGCATCACAATACTCTGCCCACTTGAGGCCTGGACTCCCCCAGCCTCCTGTGCCTGTCCCTTGCTTCCTGTCTGGCCAGACAAGGTCCTCCACTTGTCCGCTGCTTGCCAAGCCCTGCCCCGTGTCCTGCCCCGGCCCCCGGCCCCCGGCCCCCGGCCCCTGGCCCCTACTCACGGCAGCGGGTACTTCTTCCACAGCAGCTTGGCCGGCAGGGTCTGGTACACCGTCTTCTGCTTGCCGTCGGAGCTGGGGCTGCTGGGGCTGCTCTGCACGATCTTGGAGCACTCCATCTGCTCGTCCCACGAGCCCGACAGCACGTAGTGGGCCTTGCCCTGGCTGTCGCTCACCACCCCTGTCACCTGCAGGGCACGTTGGCAGCACCAGCGTAGGCATGTGCCCTGCATGGGGCGGGGCTTCTGGGGAAGGGGGCTGTTTACCTTTCGGGCTGCGTCTTTGGAGAAGTAGCTGTAGGGCATGAATTTCAGCTGGCACCGGTCGTGGGTCTTGTGATTCACAATCTCGATGTCCCCTGACTGGTGGGAGAGCGTGGTGGTCAGCAACCAATTCCCGGGCCAGGCACCCCTCCCCCAGGGCCACCTCCGACCTGGTCGATCCAGAGCTTGCCCACGATGATGTTGTGCACAGTAGAGGTGCTCTTCCTCCACACGTAGTGATTCCCGCTTGCCTGGAATTCTAAGTGGATGGCACCTGGGGGCCGGGTACAGGTAAGAGGTCAAGGGCCCCCAAGCACCCCGAGGCCCAGAAGATGCATTCATGCAGGCTGGGGCAACTGGGACAGAGCACAAGCCAGGTCGTCTCCCCTGGAAACTCCAGCCTTGGAAGGAGGGTGGAGAAGAGGAAGAGATCTTCCATCCACTGGTTCACTTTTCAAATGACTGCTACAGCTTGGGCTGGGCCAGGTATTCCATCTGGGCCTCCTATGTGGATGGTAGGGCCCCCAGGCACTTGGGTCATCGTCCCCTGCTTTCCCAGGTGCACACACAGGAAGCTGGATTGGAAGTGGAGCAGCCGGACTCAAACTGACACTCCAGTATGGGATGCCAGTATTGCAGGTGTGCCGCGATGCCAGCCTCACCAAGGCTTTTGGGTCCGCAGAATCCTCCCTTGGAACAGAGCACCTTCCTGTCCCCGGGGCACCCAGGGAGCCCGCTCACCTAGCGGCATGATGGAGAGGTATTTCCCCCGGAACTTGCTGGCGATGGTGATCTCCTGCCAGAGGCTCCAGCCGTGCTTGGAGAACACGTAGTGTGCAGCCGACGGCGGGTGGTGGCTCACCTGAGACCAGAGCCGCGGGACCTGAGCACCTCGTCCCCCAGCCATGGGTTCGGCCCTGTCCGCTCGACACCCAGGTCTCTGAGCACAGGAGCAGGCCCAGCTGCTCCTGCAGGTGGTTGAGGACCCAAGGTGGCCCCAGGAAAGGCAGTGCTCTGAGCAGGAAGGCGTCTGCCCTCAGGGCCGGCACGGTGAATCCAAGGGTTTCAGTGTCCATTTCCTCCTCCCCACCTCCCCACCTCCCTGGGAGGGCACATCCATTGTGCTGTGTGAATCTCAGGAGGCCCAGACTTGGCACAGGTAGGCCCTGGCTCCAGAGTGGGAGGCAAATCAAGGTCCTGCGCTAGGACCCAACACCCTGGTCCCTCCACACTGAGGGCACTTAAGGTTTGCTGACTTAAAGAGATGCATTCGCTTGGGTTCAGGCCAAGGACTCTGAGGTCACTGCTGACTTGACCCCACTCCTCACATGCAGAGCCCCAGCAAACCTGCCACGCTCTGATCTCCCACCATCCCCACCCGGATCACAGCGGTCCCCTCTGCCACTGCCTGGGCTCAGCGCTGGCCCTGACAGGCTCGCCTCCTCTCCCACAGCATGCCCAGGCTGGGGCGCCTCCTCTGGGGCTCCCAGCCCCTCCTGCCTGTTGCCTTCCAACTCAGTGATGATCCCATGCGCTGCCCGTCTGGACTTCCCAACAGTGTGCGGCAAACGTCCCCCCAGCTTGCTCCACAGATCCCTGGTCAGGAGAAGTGCCTGGGCCTACCCTCTGCGTCAGACCTAACTCTGTCCCTCCAGGGCCCCGCCCCCAGAGGCCTTGCTGGGTGTCTGGCCCTGAGCTCCGTGCTCTGACCTCGGGCCCGGCCGGAGCGAGAGCCTCACCTGCTCACAGAGGGAGCGCAGGCCCATGTCCTCGAGGCGGTCCAGCTCGAAGGTCTCCCCCAGCATGGGGTTGAAGGGCTTGGCAATGCGGTGCACGGTGGTGGAGTAGGAGGACACGGAGAAGGCGGCCACCAGGCACATCTGCTCCACCGAGCTGGCGCAGTGCACCGCCTTGTCCAGCAGGTGGTGGTACTCCAGGTCCTCCGTCAGCCGCTGGAGCATGGACAGGGGCTCGTTGAAGTTCACCTGGGAGGGAGGGAGAGAGGGAGGGAGTGGGCGGGCAGCCATCGCCGCACCCCTGCTGTTGCAGACCTTCAGGGATGCTCCTGCTCAGCGTCTTCCTGTGGAGCCCCTCTGATGCCCGTCACGTCCCAGCTCCTCCTACAGCACGCTGCGTGGGACACACTCTGACTACGTGGACTGAACCCCATCAGGACCAGGGCTGACGTCTGCTGTTGTATCACCAGCATTGGTCGGGGAATAGATGGAGGACCCACGTGGACACAGCAGATGGTGGGTCTTCCCCAGACTCGGAATGTGATGTCAGCATTCTGTGGAGGGCCGGTGCAGGATGGGTGGGGCTCAGGGCGGGATCCTGCTTCCCCTCCCCCTGCCCTGCCCCCTGCAAACCAAGCTGGTGCAGCTGGGACACTGTGAGGTCCTGAGTCTCCATGCTGAGCCCGGGGAGGGTCCCTTCTCTCTGGAGGATGGGGCAACGCCAAAGGATCGGATACTTACGTGCTTCCCGGGAGTCTTTAGGACCTCAACGCCCCGGGCTTCGTGTACTGCCCAGGGGCCCCTCTGCACTGCCTGCCCCAGGCTGCCTACCGGCATGGGTATCTTGGAGAGCTCCCGGCCGATGCAGTTCTTCATGATGCTCCAGAGGTTAAGGCTGTAGTTGGGCTTGTCGGGGATGCGGGACCGCCTCTTGACTTTGGATGAAGCCTTGGGCACAAGCGCGGCACTGTCCAGTACCTGCCAGAGGAGCCGGGCATGCCTGTCAGCAGAGGCCCCCGCACCCCCACACTCTTCCCCACCCCCAAGGACTAGCGCCAAGGCAGCTGCTGGCAGGCAGCGTAGGCTGGCTCGGCCTGAACTGCTGTAGGAGAGATCAGGAGCCCCCAGGGCAGGTGGGGTGCCGGGTCCCTCACCTCACTGCCATTGTCCGTCGATGACCAGTCCACAGAGCCCGTGCCGGTTCCACCTTCTGCTTTTCTGCAGGGAACACAAGAGGAGGTGAGACGTTGACAGCTCTCGGCCCCCTTGGAACCTGGCCCACCTCTTACCAAGACCCTCACGGTGAGGTCGGAAGGGCTGCACCACCTGCCCCTTGGCTGCTTCTCCAGTGCGGTAATCTGTAGTTTGGGATACTCAAAGTGTGGGCTGAGGGACATAGGCAGTGGTTTGAAGAGAGCCTACCTACCCACGCTCCCACAGACGCCCCCAGTAGCTGCTGCTGAACGAAGTGCTTGGCTGGAGTCCCTGTACCCAGCCCCCTTCTTGGGAACTGGCTGACCCAGGAGCAAGATGAGGTGCAGGGGGAGAGCTGCACGGGCCCTTCCTTCACTCAGACCCTGCTGTGTCCTTGCTGTCTGCTGGGCTGGAAGTGGGTATGGCACAACCTTGTGCCCGGGAATATTTGTGGTGAGGAGAGTCAGCCACAGCAGCAGGGGGCGCTATAGCCATGGCCAGCTGGGGCTTGACGGAGCCCTTGGCAGTCAGGGCCTGAGGGGAGGGAGAGGACTGCTTAGTTATGAGAGCCCGGGCCCCTGGGGCTTCCAGGAACAGGAGGGGTGGTCAGGGGGCAGCTTGAGCAGACCTCCTTGGCTGTGGGATAGTGGGATGGTTCTGTGGTACTAAAGTGAGAGGAAGTTCACGGCCAAGCTTGTTAACGAGAGGACATGAGCAACCTTAAAACGATACTGGGAAGCAGAAACTGAGCCGGGAATACACCGGGGACAGGATATACTCCCTAGGGGGTGGCGGTGGGCAGGATCTGGGAAGCCATGTCCTGGGAAGAAAGCACATAGATGTGTGAAAAACGGAAAAAACGAGTGGCTGGGGACTTCGCTGGTCGCTGACCACAAGCTACACCCAGCCTGCCTGCTGGTTGCACGCTCCTCCCTCTGGCCCGGCCATGCCCACAGGCACTGACAGCACTGCTGTTCTTGCCAACAAATTCCCGTCGCTGCTGTGCACTGAGAAACTAAAAGAGCGGGTTTTACGAAAAAAGAAAACAGAGGCTTGGCATCGGCAAGCAAGGGCCTCCTCGCTGCTTCTGTCTGTCCTCGAATGGAGGAGGCGGCTGGCACCCCCGTCTGTGGCCTCCTGGACCCCTGCCCCTCACCCCTGGGCTGGAACTGCATCCAGCCGTGGGCCTGTTCTCCACTGCAAATTAAAATCCTGGTGCAAACTTGGTTCAGGCATTTTGGATTTAAGAACAGAATCTAAGCAAAAATACTTCTCCGGAGAAACAACCTAAAGAACTCCCCCAGGCTCTCGTAGGTGGCTGGAGACAGAAGACCAGATGGAACCTGAGAGCAGGGCCTGATAGGCTGACCCTGGGGAGGCCCCTCCCAGACCAGAGCCGTCTCAGGTCCTGCTCTGGCGAGGGCCCTACCTGTCGTCCTTGGCCCTGGCGATCACGGTGATGAAGGACGTGGAGTCTTCCATGGCGTCGAAGTACTCGGTATCCTCATCTTCCTCACTGTCCTCTCCTTTGGGAGTCAAGAGGCTTCCTAGAGACACGTGCGGAGCCGCTGCCGTCGTTTGCAACTTCACGCAGAGGGCTCCTCGGGCCTGAGCCAAGTTCAGGGGCAAGCCAGGTCTCCCCTCCCCGTGATTTCTCAGGGCTGGGGGTCACCCTTTCCTTCCAGTGCCTCTTTCCGGGAGCCCCCCACCCTTGACCTCTCAGCATGTGGGTCTGTCCAGCCCCTGCCCAGCTCCCCTTTCTGACGGAGCCCCCAGCCCAAGGCCAGGGTGTAGGGGGCCTGCTGTGGAGAGGTCAGCTGGGCCGACTGCCTTTGCAGAAGCTGAGCCTAGCAGGGGAGTAGACTGGTAGGCCAGTCGGTGACAGGCACAGGAGGGGCAGGCCAGGGTTGGCCAAAGCTGGCCCGAACGTGGGCACGTGAAGGTTCACGTGGCCGGGGGTTGGGGAGGAGACACCCGGCAGAGAAACTGTGCGGAGCGCAATGATCTTTCTGAGGCCCCGCACCCTCGCCCACGCACCCTCGCTGAAGCTTTTGGTGGGGTTGTTGGTGCGGCCCGGGGCGCTGCGGAAGGCCCGCTCCAGGCTGTTGTGCTGCTTGGCTAGTTGCTCAATGGTCTCCTCCAAGTGGACGCGCTGCTCCTGCTCATACTGCAGCGCCCGCTGCCATTTCCGGCTGTGTATCTCTGCTAGTTCCAGGAAGTCCCTGCAGGCCTGCGGAGGGGACAGTGGCCATGTGAGCCTGCGCCTCGGGCAAGGGCCTGTCTGCCCCGCCCCCCCCCCAGCCCCAAACACCCCGCAGGGCGCGCCAGGCCGCAGGGGCAGTGAGTGGCCCTTGAGGGCATCTGTCCAGCTTCCCCTCCCTTCGCTGGGGAGGTCGGAAACTCATCCATTGCCCTCTCTGGCTTCCTGGGGAAGTGGGAACCCCGGCTGTCTCAGAACCAGCCTGGGGACCAGCACCCGCCCTGGCTGGCTTGCCACAGCCACGATGCCCGTCCGGAGGGCGCTGCGCTCTGGGTGTGCTGATCCACACTGCCCTCTGCGGCAGCTCCTGGGAGCTGGAGGAGGCTGGGTTCTGGATCCTCACTGCGCTGGGCCCAGTGTTTGTCCCCGAGCCCTGTCCCCACCGGCAGCTTGGGCCAGTCTTCGGCTTCAGCAGGAAGAGCCACATCCCGCTCCGTAGCCTGGCGGAAGAACCGAGACTGGAACTCGTCTCACAGAACTCTGCGTTTTAGGACTTTCCCCTTTGTGGCCTGCTCTGACACCCAGGGTCACAGGTGGGCCGGCCACCCTCTGAGGCAGCAGGGCTCGGTCATTCTGCCCAGGCCTCAGCTCGCCCTGGAGGGTGGTGAAGTCCACGCGGGGGAGGGGGGGGACACTCTGCCCTTCCTGGGTGTTGCCTTTAGCTCAGTAGGAGGGGCCACACTTGCCCCTGTGGCCCCACCCAAGCCCTCCCTCCCCGACCCTTCTTGCAGAGGCCAATGTGGAGCACCTGCCGGCCTCCATGCACGCATGTCGCTCACCGTCCGGTTCCTGGAGGGGGACAGGCACGCAGACCCTCACCTGTGCCACAGGGCCGGGGTGCCACCGCGACAACGTGCCAGCGTCTCGGGGGCTGTTGGCACGGACAGAACTGGGCGGGGGGGCGTCCAGCACCTGGTGCTCACGCCTTTGGTTGCTAACTCCTGCTGCTGCTCTCCCATCTTGCCGGTCACCCCCTGACACTGCCGGCCTTGCCACAGTTGGGCCTCTACTGCACCGGCACATCTGAGTCTGGTTAACTTGTCTGACTCTGCTCCTGTGAAATCCCAAAAAGTCAGCGGTGTCCTGGAAGTTTCTGGGCCAAGCGGCGCCCTAACCAGGGGGCTGGGACTGAGGGCAGTGGGACAGGGACAGATGGGCCAGCTCCTCCGCCTCCCCACACCGGTGGACAGGCGCCCCTGGCTCTGCGCTGGAGCACCCGAGCACTGGCGGCTGACCTGCCCAAGTGTGTTACTCATTTAACAGGCCCTCCTGAGTGCCAGCCTCTGCTGTCCACCCCTCACCCCCTTTCCTGCAGGGAAAGGGAGTCCCCCACTCTGAAGCTGTGGAGACAGAACATGACTGGGGAAAACAAGGCACATGGCGCTGGCAGCTGGAAGCCCCAGGGTCTGGCCCCAGCTGCTCCAGCCCTCTAAGCCCCTGTCTTCCTGGAGATGAGAGCAGTTACGTCCACCAGACCCTGTGCTCACCCAGCAAGACCCTCCAGGCGGGAGCAAGATCGCCCCCATTTGACAGAGGGGGGAAACTGAGGCTCAGTTCCCAGCAGCTCCCAGGATTCATGCCCCCCCACCCCCCCAGCAGGGATTTCTGTTGGCCCGCCTCCCAACAGGGCACAGTCAGGGTGGGGCGGGGCAGGGAGAGAGCTCCTGAGAGAAGGAAGGCAATCTCCTTATCTTCTGCGCTTAGCAGGGAGTCTGGGGCTATCTGCAGATCAGTCCTCCAGAAGGCTCCTCCCCTGTGGGTGTGGCTCGATGGCTGCCAGGCAACTTGGAGACCCGGGAGGTGGGCCTGGATGGCTCCGGGCCTGACCGAGAATGACGCAGCCAAACCCTTCCCTGCCCCGTCCCTCCCTCCCCTCACCGCTCTAAGCCCTCACAGCAGTGGCGACCCAAAGGGATCACTCTTGTTCTGCACAAGCCATGAGGCCCACTGCCCCTTACACACTGTGCACCATCCTGAGACAAGCAGGACGGGACCCGGGGCCACGTTCCCCGCCCCCGCCAAGCACAGCCCCGCTGACTGTCCCCTTTGGGCCGAGGGTGTGGAGGCCAGGGCTGTGCTGAACACAGAGCCTTATGACACACAGAGATAACAGACGCTTCCTAAGCCTCTGAGTCCTTGCTGGTCCTGGGGTGCTTCTGCTTGCTGTGCCCCGCACAGTGCCTGCTCCATCCCTGGCCAGCCAACCCGCTACAGTGTGTAACCATGTCTGTCCGTGAGCTGGGCACTTTGCTCTCCTGTTAACTCACGCCAGTGAAGACTTAACACAGCCAGCTAACAACAGTACAAAACAGCCCAAGGTCTCGCGAATAAGTCCCACAAGGCATGTCTGGGCTTCCTAGCAGCAAAAGTAAAGATGAACTCAGCTCCTTATCTTCTCCCTTCCTTGTTCCTGGGGAAACCACCATTTTCTCCCGCGGGGGAGAGGCGAGCCTTCATCGAGTTTCCCCCACGCCTGACCTCAAATCCCGGCCAGTGTCATCTCCGGGCTATCCTGTCTTCTTGCCCTTTCACCAGTTCAATCTCCGACCCACCTGCTTATTTTGATGCCAGCCTCCCCTCCCCCATACCACCTGCTGACTGGGATCCAGGGCCATCGGAGGCACCCGTCCCCACCACCGACTCGGGCATCCTGGTAGCTGGTTTCTGTAATGAGCAAGACTTGTCCAAGGCCACGAGCAGGTGTGGGGCCAGGATCGAGAGTCCCTGTGCACCTGCGAGCCTCCCAAGGCATGGAGCCAGAGCTGCAGGTTTGTTGGGGAAGCTGGATCATCACGGCTGGCTGGGAGCCCTTGAGGGCAGGATGCTGTGGGATCCGTGACTCTCCTGGCGTGGAGCTGGGCTCCCAGGAGATGATCACTCATGAAGATGGCTGGGAACAGCCCTGTCCGTGCCACAGAACCCAGCCCTGGCCTCTGGGAAGAAGGGACTGGCTCTCAGTATCCTTCACCCCAGAGTACAAGGCTTGAACCACACATGGCCATGGCCACCCATAGGGATCCAGGAAGTCAAATCCCTTGGGACAGCTGGGGTCACGTCTGGCCAGGCTGGGCACTGTGCTCACCTTGAGAGGGGGGTCAAGGCGGAGGTTGCTGTACCCTAATATCGAGGGGCTTGCATGGTGGGACCCAGGGCCTTTGTTCCTGCTGGGGGCAGGGCCCTGCAGCACATCAGCCACCCTGGTCACCTCCTGAACCCTGTCCCTGCCCCCCTACTCCTGAGGCACCCACCTGGAGTCCATCCCCAGCTCCCAGGGTCTCCTTGGCTGCCGCTGGTCTCCTCCAGGCCCCATGCCGGCCCCGCTGAGGGGAGAGGCAGCACCCGGCCCAGCCCCGCCCCCCCAGAATGCTGAGCTGGGCTGTGTCCTGTGGGCTGTGCGCTAAGCTGGATTAGGCCAGGGGCCCGGCAGAGGGGGCCGGCGGGTGGGAGCGGGGAGGTTCCTGGGGACCCAGCCAGGGCCCGCAGAGCCACGTGTCTCCTGCAGGCTCTCAGCAGCTGTCTCTGGTGCCAACGTGTTGGTCCCTAGCCCTGGGCAGGTGGAGAGAGTCGGGCTGACCCCAGTCGCCTACCCGCATCATACTCTGTATTGTGTCAGGCCAGGGGAGGTGACGAGCAGTCCCTTGGGCAGCTAGAGCTGGTGTCTGGGTCCCACACGGGCAAGCCCCAGACCTCCTCGGGACAAACGGGCCAGGTCCCGGGGCCTCCCAGAGTCCCTGATTCTGTAATCCATCGGGGTTCCTTGTCCTCAGCCTGGGAACCCTGCCCCTTCCTCTCACCCCCCAGGGCTGCAGGGAGGGTACAGTGCCACCTCCATGGGGAAGGCCCCGGGAGCTGCCCCAAGGTGGAGTGAGCACTATGAAGCCCAGGACAACCAGGGGCAGCCTCTGGCTCGGGGATGCCCTGCCCAGCTGCGGGCTTCTCTCTCCGAGAAGTCCACCTGGATGAAACCAGCATCCCATGGGCCAGAGACGGCCCCTGAGCCAGGAGCCTCCGCCCAGCTGTATCCTGGGGAGCGGAAGGAACTAAGCGCGTTTGCTGTTCCTAATCCTAATCCTGACAATGACCTCGCTGTCCACCCGGGCACGGGCAGGTGAGCAGGGCACGGGTCAGCCGATTTGGGTCCCCTCCCCAGCCTGCGTGTGGCCTGGAGCAGCCTTGCCAGCCCTCAGGAGGGAGGGTCTGAGGAGCCAGAAACCTGTGAGCATGAGTCTCGCCCAAGGCTGTCCTAGATGGAACACACAGAAGGTCCCAGCGCACTGCTGGACACTGGGGTGGGTGGCAGAGGAGGTGGCCAAGTGTGCGGGGGGTGTATACAGTATGATTGGCTCTATCTCCAGCCACCAGCACACACAACAGGTCCCAGGGCCGGCGCTGTGGCTCACTTGGCTAATCCTTCATCTGCAGCGGCGGCATCCCATGTGGGCGCCGGGTTCTAGTCCCGGTTGCTCCTCTTCCAGTCCAGCTCTCTGCTGTAGCCCGGGAGGGCAGTGGAGGATGGCCCAAGTGCTTGGGCCCCTGCACCCGCATGGGAGACCAAGAAGAAGCACTTGGCTCCTGGCTTCAGACTGGCGCAGCGCCGACCGTAGCGGCCATTTGGGGGGTGAACCAACGGAAGGAAGACCTTTCTCTCTGTCTCTCTCACTGTCTATAACTCTACCAAATTAAAAACAAAAACAAAAACAAAAACAACAGATCCCAGGAGTCCTGGGTGCAGGGGGCGTGGGAACAGGCACCTTCTTTCTACCTGTATCAGTGCACCAGGCATCTGGCATCTGTCCTGTGGTTGCCCTCAGGCTTCAGGGGTCGGAGGAGACCCTTCTGTCCCCTCCCACCATGCTCAGCCTCGTGTCGTCATCATCACTGCGGACCCCCACCTCTCACTGGCCTGGGGGTCCCAGAGGTGGCAAATGGGGAAGAAAGCAGAGTTGAGGTCTCCCCAAGCCCCCTCCCACAGCAGGGGCTGCAGCCAGGTCAGTGGGGGTCTCCCCTCCCCTCCCACTGAGAGGAGCACCGAGCTTCAAACACGCCGCACAGAGGGGAAGGGGGCGACACAGATGCAGGCCTGGGCCTGCCCAGCCCAGGCAGGCCACCACACGTAGGCATCCCAGAGCAGGAATGACAACCCCAAGCGCCATGATGGGGGGGCTGGTTCACGGAGGATGGCCCGGCGAGCCAAGCCGCCTGGCTGAGCACTGCCCCGCCCCTCGCCCCCCGCCCCCCCCCTCCGGCTGCTCCGCGCTGTGACGCACTTGTCGGCGTAGGTGAGGCCGCCTTCTGCTCCCGCTACCACTTGAAAAATAGTCCTTTCCACATTCGGAAGACTTTACCCCCTCGCACACAGGAACCGGCACCAGCTGGCTGCCAGTTTGCCGACCGATTGGGGACAGTTCTGGAATCTATTTTTACCCGGCTCTCCAGGCCCCAAGTGAGCAAGCTGTCAGAGCAGGACAGCGGCCCCCTGGCCAGGAACCTGCCCCGAGGGCCCCAGAGCCAGCCCCTGGGGCCTCTCTCCGCTGCAGGGGTCGCCCCAGGGAGCTGCACGGGATCCCCTGGGCCTGGGGGAATGATGACGACAATAGCAGCGAAGCTGTGGTGGTGAGAAGCCACAGAGTCACAGACAGAAGACGTGCCGGCCCTTGGATAAACTTCCAGGAAAGACAGGAGAAAACCGGGTCCTTAGCACCCGCGTTTTGGAGAGCTAACATCCGAAACACGAGCCCCCGTGTCAGACCCAGTGTGACTCCACGACGCCCGTGCCCCCGGTTCCCCAGCGCTGACACGGGGGACACAGCCCCCTACGCGGGGCCACGCTGGGGTTCAAGGCTCATTCTAAACCCGAAGCCATTTACCAGGGCCGCGAGCTGTCTCCTAGATGGCAGGCTGATTCGCTGTTACCCAAAGCAGTAATCCAAACGGATCTGCGCACTGGCTTTTATCAGAATCGAGAAACGATCCACTAGGGAGCCGTGCCAGGCACTAAGCAATTCATTCATTCACTCGCTCCCATGTTCGTTCACAATTCCCTCCCCGCTCCTCTCTCTCGCTCTCCTCCCTCCTCTCTCTGCTGCGGAGGCGCCCACGTGCTGGGCTCTGTGCCAGGCAGGCAGTGGAGGCTGGCATCGCGAGGGGGACCGTGGCCCGTCTTTGCACAGAGGCCGGGCAAGGGGTTTTGGTGGCAGAGTCCATGCGGCACCACGGGCCACGGACAGGGGTGGGCGGTGAAGTGGGGGTGGGGGGCACTGAGGGGGGAGGGCAGGCAGAGGAGGTGGGCTCACAGTGGCCGCAGCCCCAGCGCGTCTCTGAGTCCCCTACTCGGCCTTCAAAGTAGGCAAATGTGGCAGGGGTGGGGGTGGGGGCATGTGGGGTGGGCGTTTGGCTCCGTGGTTTTTGACAGCAGCTGGGACCCCACACCCCATGTCACAGTGCCCGGGTCTGAGTCCCAGCTCCGCTCCTGGAGCCCAGCTTCCGCCCAGTGCTGCGCCCTGGGAGGCAGCAGGGGGTGGCTCAGGTCCTTGGGCCCCTGCCACCCAGGTAGGAGACCTGGTAAGAGCTGTTTGCTCCCAGCTTTGGCCGGGCTCAGCCCTGGCCCCTGTGGGCATGTTGGGGAGTAAACCTGTGCATGGAGATGACCTCTCTCTGTCTTTCTCTGTCTTTCAATTTTCAGAAGAGCGGGTGGATGAGCTGCCGGCCCTGTGGAAGGCCACACCAGCAAGCACAGGTGTGGCGGCCTGGGGCCCCCTGGGCTGCCTGTTCCCTGCTGAGTCCTTGCCTGCTACAGGCCTGGGCGGGGCTGTGCAGCAGCTGCTGGAGTCTGTGTTCAATGCCCCTCAGCCACGGCAGACCCTCAGCCACGGCAGCCACTCAGCCACGGCAGCCTGCAGGGGACTGGAGCGTCTCACTCAGGGCCTCACAGAGGATGGGGCCATCACCCCACCCCACAGTGGGCACCCAGACGTGGGCTTGCGTCCCAGCTTGGCCAGCTACTGGCTGGGTGGCACTGGGCAGCTCCTCTGAGGCTTAGCGCCTACTTCTCAGACACCAAGCATTCCTAAAAGGCTGTGCGGAGCACGCGGCTAGGTGGGGTCCTGAACAGCCTCCCTGGGGAACAGGGGTGGAAACCACACTATTGCCTCAGTCATTGATCCCGCATCCAACCCCCTCGTCACAGTAGGTGGGAGCTGAGGTCTGGCTGGGGGTCAGGACAACGTGTCCTGGGACCTTCGGGCGCCGGGTGGGAATCTGGACATCCAGGGCCTGACAGCCATGCTCACCGCCCTTCCAGAACAGGAAGGAAGCCCGCCTGGGGCCTGTTGGGGCAGCCCCCACTCCTGCCCTCCCTCCCCGATTTCACAGCCAGGAGCTTGGGGAGATGGCCTGAGGGACGGCAACTCCCACCACTTGGGCCTGACTGTCCAGTGATTCCCTAGAGTTGGAACTGGAAACAGGCCGGTAACCAATCCCAGGGGGTAGTGCTTCCCTTAGGGCAACTCATCCTGCACTCAGGCGGGGGCTGCCTTCACAGCTCTGTGGACACAGAGGAGCCTCCAGGCCAGAGTGCCGTCATTATGCCCGGCAAGGTTTAGCGTCTGTGCTGGTCCCCAGTGGACGGACAGGGACCAGGGGTGTGGAGAAGAGCCCCTGGCTTTAAGGACAGTGGCCCAGAGCAGGAGTGACGGCAAACGAGGACACAGATGCAGCGTGGCCCAGAGCTGCAGCCCGGCAGCCCCCTGGTCCTCCGGGCACACGGATCCCAGCTGCACCCCTGACCACGGTGGGCACCGGGCAGAGACAAAGGGATGCTGGGAGCTGAGTTTCCCAGGAGTCTGGGAAGACGGCACACCTTGCTCAGCCTCAGACTCTACGCTGGGCATCCCCAAGGCTGCACCTGTGTGCGGCCCCATGCCTGAGCCTGTCCGGATGGTGTGTGTGTGTGTGTTCGCGCATGTGTGTGTCTGTGTGTGTGTGCATGTGCGTGTCTGTGTGCGTGTCTGTGTGTGTGTCTGTGTGTGTGGCAGCTCTCTGCTCCACAGTTGTGCCAACAGGTAGGCGAGGCAGGTTAGGGACAGGTCTCAGCCACCCAGGGTTTATCCTGGGCATCGGGGCCTGAAGTGGGTAGCAGGGTCCATTTTCCCCACCCGCCTTACCTGTCACACAGGTTCGACTGTCCCAGGCTTCCCTAGAGCTGGACACAGGCCTGGCAGCCAACCCCCAGGACTGATGCCTCCCATGAACCCATCTTCCTGTTGGGCCTGCAGCTGATCTTGACCCTCAGCCCTCCCCTGCTTACCAGCATTGCCCATGGTCTCCAGCCAGCCTGATGGTCCCTCAACAACAGTCTCTGGTCCCCTTCTCTGCACCCCTGCTCCCGGCGTTGCCACCCTAAGCCCCTGGTCCCCGGCACTCAGGCCTGGATGGTGTCCTTGTGAAGAGATGTGGCTGTGTTGCAGGTGGGAGGCCTGGAGGGGCCCATTTCTGGGGGACACTCACCAGGCACAGAGAGGAAGGGCCAGAAGCCTGGTGGACGCTTGGCTCCTGCCACCATGGAAAGACCCTCTGGCTGCCAGTCACGGCAAAAGGCTTCCAGGATTCAGGGAGCTGGCCGACCCTCATCGCTCACCAGGCTCGGCTCCAAAGCTCTTCTGGTTGAGGGAAGCCCCACCCCCAGTCCCTGCCACTCACATACGCCCCTGCTTACGTGGGTCCCGATCCTGCTGCACCAGGTGGGTGAAGCCAGAGCAGCTGCGGGGGCCAGTGTGGCTGCCGTGTCCCTACTGTGTGGGCACACGGCTACAACCTGGGAGCCTGACCTTCCTCGCCCAGGCAAGAAACACCTGCCAGCCTCCGCCAGACTCCACAGCCAACCCCTACCCCGCACTGGGCCATGAGAAAGCGCAGCCTTACCCTACAGTGGCTGCGTGCATGACCTGACGGGAGAGGATAGTTCAAAAAGCTCATGGAAAATGGAATTAAGAGCTAAGTTCGTTTTGGTGGAGAAAAATTGTTAAGATTTATCTTGTTTATTTGAAAAGCAGAGTTTTGGAGGGGTGTGTGTGGGAGAGGGAGGGAGGGAAGAAAGGAGAGAAAGAGAGAGAGAGAGAGAGAGAGAGAGAGAGAAAGGAAGGAGAGTCCGAATGGCTGCAATGGCTGGGGCTGGGCCAGGCCAAAGCCAGGAGCCAGGAGCTTCTTCCGGGTCTCCCATGTGGGTGGCAGGGGCCCAAGGACTTGTGCCATCTTCCACTGCTTCACCAGGTGCATTAGCAGGGAAGTGGAGCAACTGGGACTCGAACTGGCTCCTGCATGGGATGCCAGCATCGTAGGCAGCAGGTACCTCAACGCTGGCCCCAGCAATTCTCATTTTCTTGAACTTTTTAAAGACCCCTCATATGAAGGATTTCAATTTTTTTTTGCACCAAAACAAACTTATCTTTTAATTCCATTTTTTTGTAACCAACTACTTTCCTATGTGAGAGAGAAAGAGAGCGAGCGAGCGAGCTCCCATCTCCTGATTCATTCTTCCAAACGCCTGTCACGGCTGGGAGGTGGGAACTCCATCCAGGTCTAGTACAGAGGTGGCAGGGACCCAGGCCCTGTAGCCCTCACAGCTGCCTCCCGGGGTCAGCGTTAGTAGGGAGCTGGAATCCAGAGAGGAGTGGGATTCGAACCCAGGCACTCTGACACGGGCGTCTTACCCACTAGGCCAAACGACCATCCCTGCCTCCCTGAACTGATAAGCGCTGTGGTGGAGAATGGCGGAGGGCACTCACGTTGATCATAGCATTGGACGTGATGCGGAAGAGGGTGGCCCGCTCGTTCACCGCCTTCAGCTTCTCGCTGCTCTCGGTCGGGATCTTGAGGCCGTCCAGCTCGGTGAGGGAGCGCTGCAGCGCCGCGCCGTGCTTGGCGATGAGGTCGTTGCACGTGCTGAGGTCGTCCAGCTTCAGGGAGAGGGTCTTCAGGGTGTGGTGGAGCTCGCTCTTGTCGGTCGGGGCCACGGTCTCGTCGTCGTCGTCCCCGGAGTCATCTGCGGAGGGGAAGTGGAGCGGCCTGGGTCCTCAGCCGAGCAGGCACCCAGGGCTCAGATGCCAGCAGCTCCCTAGGGGGCGCCCGCGCTGCTCCCGGCCAGGGCAAGAGGCGTGCCCAGCCCCCCGCCCGGGGTCCCTGGTGAGCACCGATCCACTCCAATCAGTGGCAGAGGGCATGGGAGGGGACCAGCGGCAAGGCCTGGCCTTTGGAGGGGGCCGCGGGGCAGGTGCCCCCGCTGCGTGTGGGCCAGCAGCTCACCCCCCCCCCCGCGGCCGGGGGCGGGCAAGGCTGGGCCACGCTGGGCAGAGAGCTGCAGACCGCTTGGTCTGATGCAGGACCACCCCCCAGCCCACCCCCCTCGGAAGAGGAGCCCAGGCTCTTTCCCTGGGCATTATGGCCCCGCCCCGCACTGACCAGCAGCCTCCCTGCCCATCCCCGCCCCCCGCCCAAGCTGTCTTGTTTCAGAAAAAAATCAGTGCCCCCTCCAAGCTGTGTTTTAGCTGAAAGAAATCTGTACCCCAAGATAGAAAACCAAAACAAGCCACCAGGAAGGCTTATTTCGAGAGAAACGTGGGCCAGGTTCCTGGGAGTGGACAGGACTCGGCTGCTGTTTCCTGTGGCATGACCAGGCCAGGCAGCTGCCCAGGGGAGCTGGGGGAGGGGACATCCACGACACACCTGGCAGGGATCCAGCGGCCCGGGGGCCTCAAGAGATTGAGGGCCTGGCCCCTCATCCTTTGAGCAAAAGGGGACATGGGACATTGAACAGCCACCTGCAGAGGCTATAACAAGGGGACAGGGGGCCACAAGCCTGGCAAGGCCAGAGGTGGCCACAGGAGGCCAGGGGCTAGAGACAATGAAAGGGGGCGGGCTTGGGCAGAAAGCACCCCGGACCCAGCACAGATGCACGGATGGTGGCACTTGCACAGCTATGAGCCCCTGACCCGGCCAGCCACGGCCCACAGCCCCATGCAGCCCCAACACACCTGCCACCCACTGCCACGTCCCCATAGCAAGACGGAGGCTGCTCACGTGCTGGGAGAGGTGTGGACCTGACCCCAAGGCCCAGAGGAATTGGAGATGCACAAAGAAGGGAACCTGGCTTCCAAAGTGCTGATGGTCCCTGGACCCGTCAAGTCCAGAAGCCTCAGTGCGGGGGAGGGGGCCGCACAGGAACAAACCCACCCTCAGGGAGATGCATGAGTATCCACGAGGGACTGGGGCCAGGACCCGCTGCAGACAACGACATCCCTGGGGCCGCTCAAGTCTCTGCTATGAAACCGAGAAGTACTGGCCCGCGGCTCACGCACACCCTCCCGCGCGCTCAGCGTCTCCAGGCCGTGTGCAATCCCTCATGCAAGGTCAAGGCTGGGTAAGCAGTTGTTAAGCTGCCTTGTTTAGGGAATGAGGACAAGACCACAACCCAGGCGCCCGCTGAGAGACACGGACAGGGCTGCACAGGCTGCTGTCACCCACCTCCTCCCCGATGGGCCGGAATTTACCCAAAGAAAGGAAAATGCACGTCTGGAAGGTTACGTGGGGTTGCCGCTGTCAAGTGCATGACCTTGGGGTTTATCGGCCTCTTGTGGCCCCTATGCACCCTCTTCTGTTCCCACAATCCCTAGGGAGGAAAACCCCAGGACAAGGAGGACCTGAGAGAAAACAGTGAGTGCTGGTGGTCACAAAGAACCATCACCATTGTGACGACACAGCAAGCACTAAGCCGCCCACAGAGGGAAGAGTCACAGATGCTTTGCAATTACTAACACAGGGGCCGGTGCTGTGGCCTAGGGGGTTAAGCTGGCACCTGCAGTGCCGGCATCCCATATGGGTGCTGGTTCGAGTCCCGGCTGCTCCACTTCCAATCCAGATCTGTGCTATGGCCTGGTAAAGCAATAGAAGATGGCCCAGGCATTGGGGCCCCTGCACCCACATGGGAGACCCGGAAGGAGCTCCTGGCTCTTGGCTTCGGATGGACGCAACTCTGGCTGTTGCGGCCAATTGGGGAGTGAACCAATGGTTCACTCTCGTAACTCTTTCAAATAAATAAGTCTTTAAAAAAAAAATACAAGAATTGTAGCCACTGAAATGGAGGGCTCCATGGGTTAAGATCACAAGACAGCAAATCAGGAAGTCCCCCAGTGCCAGCCACACTGGCAGGAGAGGCACTCGGATTGGGAGACTGAGACCTGGGACAAGAAAAGGGACTGGGCCAAGGTCAGGGTCTGCAGCAGCCTGTTGGTTCAGAACAGCTGAGATGCACTGTCAAGGGCTCGGAGCCCGGACCCCTGGGGAGGTGATGCTGGCTGCGCTGGGAGATGAGTGGAGGGGAGCCAGCAGGTGCCACAGCTCCACGTGTTCAAGCTCAGAGGCACCGGCTGGGCGGACCGCGGGCCTCTGTGATCATAGGCAGTGCACCAGCTCCTGGAAGCTGGGCCCAGCAGGGACCCTCTGCTGCACGCCTCACTTCTCCACCCGGCATGGGGAGGGGGTGCCCAGAGTGGATACCTGGGGGTGGAGGAAGACGTCCTTCGCTGGGCGACGGGCAGCCAGAGGAGCACGCCCTCCCCTGGGTGAGGGTCTCTCCACCCGCCCTGCCCATGCAGGCTCAGCACCTGCGCCCCTCCAGGTGGCCCGCTGCGTGCCCCAGCCTTTCTGCTGGCCCCACCCCTCACACGCTCTGCCAAGCCCCCCGCAGGCAGTCAGCTGCTCCAGCGCATTCATTTTGGCTGCTGGCTGGCTCGGTGCCTAGCTGGCAGGCCTGGGAAGTGCGGGGGGTGGGGAGTCACACGCAGACCAGCCTGGGCTTCGGCAGACTCTCTCCCTGGTCAGCAACAACGCAGCTGGCAATGGTGACCATCACGACACCCATGGCAGCAGCGGACTGATAACTCCTCCAATCCTTGCGCCCTTAGCACCCGGAGGAAAGCGAGGCTTGGAGTGGGAAGGGTCTGACTGTGAGGGGTCCCTGGCCCCGGTGGTCCTGCTCTAAGCCCCCGCCCCGCCCCTGGGCCATTCTGGCCATTTCCTGTGTCTCAGCACAGGCCACGCCCAAGGGGCCCCTAGGAAACTGGGAAATGAACGGGAAGACTGGGCGACACACGTGCTTTGCTTGGGAGTGTCAGCAGCCTGCACCAGGGAGCGACCTCTGAGTCTCACCTTGCAGGTGGATTTCCTTCTTTAGGATTTCTGGGAAAACCACAGCGCGCCCTGCTAACCTGTGTCATTTCAATGTCCCCGCCCAGGCCACCAATACCCTCGTTAGGGCCACGGCTCTGGACCAGGGTCACAACTACTGGGCAGCTGGAGGAGGACAGGCCGTGGGGGAGCCCGTGTCCCCTACTGCTGGCCCGGGGCCTGGGCCTGCAGGGACACGGCTTACAGACGACACTGACCCACTGATGGAGGAGAGACTTGAGAGCTGGACGGAGCAAGAAGGGGCCATGGCATTTGTGTCCCCTCGTCCCCCTGCTTTGCAAAGAGCTGTTTCCCAGCAGGGCTGCCCATGTTCTGGAACTCCCCAGGCCTGTCCCCGATGCCTCAGATCAAGCGTCACGGAAAGCGGCTCGCCGGGTCTGGATGGACAGCTTTGCCATCTGCGAAGGCCATGGCTTCCGCAACCAGGATGGAGAAGCTGACCCTGAACTCAGCTCATCCCCCGAGAGGACTCAAAGCTAACAGAAGCCTGAGCCTTCGAATGCAAACGGCCATCATGGCAGAGGGACCCAGACCCCAGTCTCTCTTCCCGCATGCCCAAGCCAGTGGAGCTCCCGGGTCTCCCCAGCGACGAAAGCAAAGAGCAGCTCCAGACGGCGGAGCAGAAAAGAACAGTCTGTGCGGGCCTCCGGGGCTGAGAAAGGCAGCGTGGGCACGGAGGTCAGGACGGCGGCAACCACGGGGAGCCATCGAGCACGGAACAGAACAGGCACTGCTGCTCACTTGCGACTGTGTTGGAGGAAGCGCCAGTTCCTAAGACGTCCACCGCCGGCCGCCCGTGGAAGGGACTTTCACAGCCCCGGTGGCTGCTCTGGGCTGGCTGATGTCTCCCCCCGGCTCGCGTCTCTCCTAGAGCTTCAGGGTGGCACTGTATTTGCAGGGACCAGTTAGTTAGGATGAGGTCACATTGGGACCCCGTGAGTCCTGCATCCGGAATGACTGGGGTCCTTACAGAAAGAGGAGAAGACGCGGGGGGCTGTTTGGCGTAGTGGTTTAGCCGCTGCACGGCCCAGCTGCACCCCGCGCTGGAGGGCCAGGGTTGGAGTTCTGGCTGCAGTCTTGATTCCAATTCCACCCCTGCCATCCCCCCGGGAAACACAGATGGAGTGCCCAGTTCCTGGTTTAGGCCTGGCCCAGACCTGGCTACTGTAGGCCTCTGGGGAGTGAGATGGCTCTGAAAAGACCCAGAGATGGAGGAGGACAGAGGAGTGCTGTGTCTACAAGCCTAGGACTGCTGGCGACACCAGGAGCTGAGAGAGAGGCATGGGGTGGATGCATTGCTAGGAGCAGGCTTGCTTTTGAACTTGGGGCCCTCGGAACCGTCAGAGAATACATTTGCCATGGCAGCCACAAAACACTCACACAGGGGCTTCCCTTTAGGCTTCTGGCAGTCAGAAGTCCTAACACCCACAGCGTGGGCGGGTTCACTTTCTTCTTGCAAGGCCAGGGGAGACCACGTCTCCGCCTCCTGCAGCTCTGCTGCTGCCTTCACGCCTTGGCTCGTGGCCGCTTCCCCACCTTCAAAGCCGGCAGCTTCTGATCGGCCTCTGTGGGCCCCGCCACAATAATCCCCCATTTCAGAGCCTTCCCACCTGCAAGGACCCTCCTGCCTGCCAGAGCAGGTAACAGCGGCGTGTCTGGGGGTGTGGGCATTGTGGGAGCCATGGCGGCCCAGGTGGACACCTGCCACGTTCCACCCTCTCGGTTTCCATTCCAGCTGCGCCCTGGGGAGAGGCCCCTGGGGTGGGATGGTGGGAGGAGTTCCACTAGATCACGGAGCTC